GAAAAAAGGGTAGGAATTAATACTACTACTACTAATAATAATAATAAAAATAAATACAAATAATGGTAATAGTCAATGAAATAATCAAAGAAATAATACAAATAAAAATCGCCATCCTGGGGGACGAAGACATCGCGCCGGAGCCGGAGGGGAAAAAGGGGTAGGAATTAATACTACTACTACTACTACTACTACTACTACTAATAATAATAATAATAAAATTAATAGAAATAAATACAAATAAATACAAATAATGATAATAGTAAATGAAATAAAGAAATACTACAAATAAAAATTGCCATCCTGGGGGACAAAGACATCGCGCCGGAGCCGGAGGGGAAAACAGGGTAGGAATTAATACTAATAATATTACTAATAATAATAATAATAATAATAAAATAAAATTAATAGAAATAAATAGAAATAAATGCAAATAATGGTAATAGAAAATGAAATAATCAAAGAAATAATACAAATAAAGGAGGACAAAGACATGGCGCCGGAGCCGGAGGGGAAAAAAGGGTAGGAATTAAGACTGATAATAATAATAAAATTAATAGAAATAAATACAAGTAATGGTAATAGAAAATGAAATAATCAAAGAAATAATACAAATAAAAATCGCCATCCTGGGGGACGAAGACATCGCGCCGGAGCCGGAGGGGAAAAAAGGGTAGGAATTAAGACTAATAATAATAATAATAATAATAAAATAAATAGAAATAAATACAAATAAATACAAATAATGGTAATAGAAAATGAAATAATCAAAGAAATAATACAAATAAAGGAGGACAAAGACATCGCGCCGGAGCCGGAGGGGAAAACAGGGTAGGAATTAATAATAATAATAATAATAATAATAATAATAAAAATAATAGAAATAAATACAAATAGTGGTAATAGAAAATGAAATAATCAAAGAAATAATGCAAATAAAAATCGCCATCCGGGGGGACGAAGACATCGCGCCGGAGCCGGAGGGGAGAAAAGGGTAGGAATTAATGCTAATAATATTAATAATAATAATAATAATAAAAATAATAGAAATAAATAGAAATAAATGCAAATAATGCTAATAGTAAATGAAATAATCAAAGAAATAATACAAATAAAGGGGGAGAAAGACATCGCGCCGGAGCCGGAGGGGAAAAAAGGGTAGGAATTAAGGCTAATAATAATAATAAAAATAATAAAAATAATAAAAATAAATACAAATTGTGATAATAGAAAATGAAATAATCAAAGAAATGATACGACTCATGGGGGACGAAGTCATCGCGCCGGAGCCGGAGGGGAGAAAAGGGTAGGAATTAAGGCTAATAATAATAATAATAATAATAATAATAAAAATAATAGAAATAAATGCAAATAAATACAAATTGTGATAATAGAAAATGAAATAATCAAAGAAAAAATACAAATAAAGGGGGAGAAAGACATCGCGCCGTAGCCGTAGGGTAAAAAAGGGTAGGAATTAATACTAATAATATTATTAATAATAATAAAATAAATATAAAATAAAAATAATATAATAATAAAATAAAAATCATAAAATAAAAATAATAGAAATAAATACAAATAAATACAAATAATGGTAATAGTAAATGAAATAATCAAAGAATACAAATAAAAATCATCATCATTAGGTTATCATTGGAATCATTCCCATTCTCTTGGTAATGAGAATTAGAATGGTAAAGATCAACATCACGATCGTTATTGATAACGATCTTCTTGATCGCTGGGACGATAATGACAATCGTTAATTCTAGTCATCGTTCTAGATTTATAATTAGATTGTAAATGGTGATTTAGAAATAAATCATATGTAATTAAATCCTCTACAAATGGTCTAGAATGAACCCTAAATTATAAATTATCATTACCGTTTGATAATTTTGATTCTAACGATCATTGTAACGATAGTAAATAATAAATAATAAATAATAAATAATACATAATAATAATAAATAATAATGAATAATAAATAATAAATAAATAATAAAAATAATAAATAATAAATAATAAATAATAAATAAATAATAATAAATAAATAATAAATAATAAATAATAAATTATTATAGTGGCGATTCTAATGATTCTAATTTAACTGCGACTGTAATTACTAATTTCATTTCATTACAACGATCGTTCTCGTCACTTCCCGTTCCAGCCCCCCCTCCCCGTCGTTAAGGTCGGTCCCGCCGGAACCTTCCGGAAACCGGGCGCCGGCCCCCCGGCCCCCGGCGCCCGGCGAGGAGTCGGAGAGCGACCCCGAGGGGCCGGTGGCGGCGCAGATGCTCTCCTTCGTCATGGACGACCCCGAGTTCGAGAGCGACGCCTCGGCCGACGCCCGGGGGGTAAGTGGGCGCCGGGTGCGGGGGAACTACAACTCCCAGAAGCCTTTGGGGGGGGAGAGGGCGCCTTGGAAGCCTCAAACTACGTTTCCCAGAATCCTTTGGGGGACTAGCCTCAAACTACACCTCCCAGTATCCTTTGGGGGACTAGAAGCCTCAAACTACAACTCCCAGAATCCTTTGGGGGACTAGAAGCCTCAAACTACAACTCCCAGACTCCTTTGGGGGACTAAGGGCGCCTTAGAAGCTTCAAACTACATCTCCCAGAATCCTTTGGGGGACTAGAAGCCACAAACTACAACTCCCAGACTCCTTTGGGGGACTAGAAGCCTCAAACTACAACTCCCAGACTCCTTTGGGGGACTAGAAGCCTCAAACTACAACTCCCAGACTCCTTTGGAGGACTAGAAGCCACAAACTACAACTCCCAGAATCCTTTGGGGGACTAGAAGCCTCAAACTACAACTCCCAGAATCCTTTGGGGGAATAGAGGGCGCCTTAGAAGCCACAAACTACAACTCCCAGACTCCTTTGGGGGACTAGAAGCCTCAAACTACAACTCCCAGACTCCTTTGGAGGACTAGAAGCCACAAACTACAACTCCCAGAATCCTTTGGGGGACTAGAAGCCTCAAACTACAACTCCCAGAATCCTTTGGGGGAATAGAGGGCGCCTTAGAAGCCACAAACTACAACTCCCAGTATCCTTTGGGGGACTAGAAGCCTCAAACTACAACTCCCAGAATCCTTTGGGGGACTAGAAGCCTCAAACTACATCTCCCAGAATCCTTTGGGGGGCTAGAGGGCGCCTTAGAAGCCTCAAACTACATCTCCCAGAATCCTTTGGGGGACTAGAAGCCTCAAACTACAACTCCCAGAATCCTTTGGGGGACTAGAAGCCACAAACTACAACTCCCAGACTCCTTTGGGGGACTAGAAGCCTCAAACTACAAATCCCAGAATCCTTTGGGGGACTAGCCTCAAACTACAACTCCCAGAATCCTTTGGGGGGCTAGAGGGCGCCTTAGAAGCCTCAAACTACAACTCCCAGACTCCTTTGGGGGGCTAGAGGGCGCCTTAGATGACTCAAACTACGTTTCCCAGAATCCTTGGGGGAGTAGAAGCCTCAGACTACAACTCCCAGAATCCTTGGGGGACTAGAAGCCTCAAACTACAACTCCCAGACTCCTTTGGGGGGCTAGAGGGCGCCTTAGATGACTCAGACTACATCTCCCAGAATCCTTTGGGTGCCTTAGAAGCCTCAAACTACAACTCCCAGACTCCTTTGGGGGGCTAGAAGCCACAAACTACAACTCCCAGACTCCTTTGGGGGACTAGAAGCCTCAGACTACATCTCCCAGACTCCTTTGGGGGACTAGAAGCCACAAACTACAACTCCCAGACTCCTTTGGGGAGCTAGAAGCCTCAAACTACATTTCCCAGAATCCTTGGGGGACTAGAAGCCTCAAACTACAACTCCCATAATTCTTTGGGGGACTAGCCTTAAACTACATCTCCCAGACTCCTTTGGGGAGCTAGAAGCCTCAAACTACATCTCCCAGAATCCTTTGGGGGGCTAGAGGGCGCCTTAGATGACTCAAACTACACCTCCCAGAATCCTGTGGGGGACTAGAAACCTCAAACTACGTCTCCCAGAATCCTTTGGGGAAATAATAAGGAAAGGGGAATAGAGCGCCTTAGAAGCCTCAAACTACACCTCCCAGAATCCTTTGGGGAACTAGAAGCCACAAACTACAACTCCCAGACTCCTTGGGGGGCTAGAGGGCGCCTTAGAAGCCTCAAACTACGTTTCCCAGAATCCTTTGGGCGCCTTAGAAGCCTCAAACTACAACTCCCATAATTCTTTGGGGGACTAGCCTTAAACTACATCTCCCAGACTCCTTTGGGGGGCTAGAGGGCGCCTTAGATGCCTCAAACTACAACTCCCAGAATCCTTTGGGGGAAATAATAATAAAAGGGGACTAGAGCGCCTTAGCAGCCTCAAACTACAACTCCCAGAGTCCTTTAGGGGACTAGAAGCCTCAAACTGCAACTCCCAGAATCCTTTGGGGGAATAGAGGGCCCCTTAGAAGCCTCAAACTACGTTTCCCAGAATCCTTTAGGGACTAGAAGCCTCAAACTACAACTCCCAGAATCCTTTGGGGGACTAGAAGCCTCAAACTACATCTCCCAGAATCCTTTGGGGGGCTAGAGGGCGCCTTAGATGCCTCAAACTACAACTCCCAGAGTCCTTTAGGGAACGAGAGGGCGCCTTAGAAGCCTCAAACTACATTTCCCAGAATCCTTTGGGGGACTAGAAGCCTCAAACTACAACTCCCAGAATCCTTTGGGGGGCTAGAAGCCTCAGACTACATCTCCCAGAATGCTTTAGGCGCCTTAGATGCCTCAAACTACAACTCCCAGACTCCTTTGGGGGACTAGAAGCCTCAAACTACAACTCCCAGACTCCTTTGGGGGGCTAGAAGCCTCAAACTACACCTCCCAGAATCCTTTGGGGGACTAGAAGCCTCAAACTACACCTCCCAGACTCCTTTGGGGGACTAGAAGCCTCAAACTACAACTCCCAGAATCCTTTGGGGGGCTAGAAGCCTCAAACTACACCTCCCAGAATCCTTTGGGGGACTAGAAGCCTCAAACTACATCTCCCAGAATCCTTTGGGGGACTAGAAGCCTCAAACTACAACTCCCAGACTCCTTTGGGGGACTAGAAGCCTCAAACTACATCTCCCAGAATCCTTTGGGGGACTAGAAGCCTCAAACTACAACTCCCAGACTCCTTTGGGGGACTAGAAGCCTCAAACTACATCTCCCAGAATCCTTTGGGGGGCTAGAAGCCTCAAACTACATTTCCCAGAATCCTTGGGGGGAAATAACAAGGAAAGGGGACTAGAGCGCCTTAGCAGCCTCAAACTACATTTCCCAGAATCCTTTGGGGGAATAGAAGCCTCAAACTACGTCTCCCAGAATCCTTTGGGGAAACAATAAGGAAAGGGGACTAGAGCGCCTTAGAAGCCTCAAACTACGTTTCCCAGACTCCTTTGGGGGACTAGAAGCCTCAAACTACAACTCCCAGACTCCTTTGGGGAGCTAGAAGCCTCAAACTACATCTCCCAGAATCCTTTGGGGGGGCTAGAGAGCGCCTTAGATGCCTCAAACCACATCTCCCAGAATCCTTTGGGGGACTAGAAGCCTCAAACTACAACTCCCAGACTCCTTTGGGGGACTAGAAGCCTCAAACCACAACTCCCAGAATCCTTTGGGGAAACAATAAGGAAAGGGGACTAGAGCGCCTTAGCAGCCTCAAACTACATTTCCCACAATCCTTGGGGGGAAACCCTAAGGAACGCTCTCTTCTCCCAGCCTCCTTTGCAGGACCACTTCCCCGCCCTCTCGGACCTATCGGACGCCTCGGACCCCGGCCCGGCCCCGCCCACCCCGCCCCCGGCCCCCGCCTCCCCGCCTTCCGGCCGAAGGACGAGCGGATCTCTTTGGGCTGGGATTGGAGGAGCCGGCGCGGCGGAAGGAGAGCAGCGAGGAAGGTGAGCAAGCTTGAGAGTCGCACAGGACTCTTCCTCAATCCGAATTACCAATTGGATCATTTGGTCTTTTTATTCTATTGTATGATGCGCAAGCTTTAGAGTCACACAGGACTCTTCATTAGTTCAAATTCTCAATTTGATTATTTGGTATTTTTATTTTATGGTATTGTGCGCATGCTTTAGAGTCACACAGGACTCTTCCTCAATCCGAATTACCAATTGGATTATTTGGTATTCTTATTTTATGCAATGGTGCGCAAGCGTTAGAGTCACACAGGATTCTTCATTAGTTCAAATTCTCAATTGGATCACTTTGTCTTTTAATTTTATGGTATTGTGCGCAAGCTTTAGAGTCACACTGGACTCTTCATCAATCCGAATTACCACTTGAATTATTTGGTATTTTTATTCTATTGTATGATGCGCAAGCTTTAGAGTCACACAGGACTCTTCCCCATTGGAATTACCAATTGGATCATTTGGTATTTTTATTCTATTGTATGATGCGCAAGCTTTAGAGTCACACAGGACTCTTCCCCATTGGAATTACCAATTGGATCATTTGGTATTTTTATTCTATTGTATGATGCGCAAGCTTTAGAGTCACACAGGACTCTTCCTCAATCCGAATTACCAAATTGGATTATTTGGTATTTTTATTTTATGCAATGATGAGCAAGCTTTAGAGTCACACAGGACTCTTCCCCGTTGAAATTATCGATTTTATTATTTGGTATTTTTATTTTATGCAATGGTGCGCAAGCTTTAGAGTCACACAGGGCTATTGACCAATTTGATTTCTTTGTATTTTCATTTTATACTACGATGAGCAAGCTTTAGAGTCACACAGGACTCTTCCCCATGTGGAATTACCAATTTGATTGTATGGTATTTTTATCTTATGCTCTGGTGCGCAAGCTTTAGAGTCGCACAGGACTCTTCACCACTGTACTAAAATATATTAATACAATATACTAAAATAAAATAATGATGTAATATACTAAAATAATATAAGAAGATAATATATATACTGAGTTAATATAATATACTAAAATAATATACGAATAGAATAAAATGAAATAATATACGAAAATAATATATCAATACAACATACTAAAAGAATATAATATATTAATACAATATACTAAAATAAAATAATGATGTAATACACTAAAATAATATAAGAATAGAATAAAATGAAATAATATACGAAAATAATATCACATAATAGAATAAAATAAATATGAATATAATAATATACTAAATTTATATAATATATTAATACAATATACTAAAATAATATGATATATTAATACACTATATTAAAATATATTAATATATTATACTAAGATAATATATTAATAAACTATATTAAAATATATTAATACAATATACTAAAATAAAATAATGATGTCATATACTAAAATAATATAAGATAATATATATACTGTTAATATAATGTCCTAAAATAATATACGAATAGAATAAAATGAAATAATATACGAAAATAATATCACATAATATAATAAAATAAATATGAATATAATAATATACTAAAATTATATAATATATTAATACAACATACTAAAATAATATAATATATTAATACACTGTATTAAAATATATTAATACAATATACTAAAATAATATAATATATTAATACACTCTATTAAAATATATTAATACAATAAACTAATATAATATAATATATTAATACACTATATTAAAATATATTAATACAATATACTAAAATAAAATAATATATTAATACACTATATTAAAATATATTAATACAATGTACTAAAAAAAAATAACGATGTAATATACTAAAATAATATAAGGAGATAATATATATACTGAGTTAATATAATATCCTAAAATAATATACGAATAGAATAAAATGAAATAATATACGAAAATAATATGACATAATATAACAAAACAAATATGAATATAATAATATAAAATAAACAAAATAATATAATCAAAGAAAAGGATAGAAAAAAGGAAATTAAACGGCTATAATTTTCCCTCCAGATCCGCCTTCCAAGGAGAAGAAGAAGAAGAAGAAGCGGAGCAGCAAAGAGGTAGGGCGGCCCCTCCCCTTTGGGAACCTTAGCGCGGCCGGGCGCCGCAGGAAGTGCCCGCCCCCAACTTCCTGCCTCTTTCCCCCCGCAGGAAGAGAAGAAGAAGAAGACCCGCCCCAAGAAGCCCAAGGAGGAAGCGGAGGGCGCCGGGCGCAGGAAGGGGCGGGCCAAAGCCAAGGCCAGCCCCTTGGACGAGCTGGAGGCCTTCCTGGGGGCGGGGCCGGCCCGGGGGGGCGGGGACTACGAGGAGCTCTAGCCCCGCCCACTTCCTGGAAACGAGCCCCGCCCCCCACTTTCGGACGGACGCCGCCGCTGCTTTTTGACGGACGGATCTGCCTGGGGGCGGGACTTCCTGCGGCGCATGCGACCCCGCCCCTTTGTTTGCGTTGCTGTGACCCCGCCTCTCCCGTCGCCGTGGAGACTTTGTGCTGCTTCCGGGGGGCGGCGCCGGAGGGACAGGAGGTCCCGCCCCCTCACTTCCTGCTTTGGGGACCACGCCCCGTTTCCGGGCGCATGGAACAGACTCAGGTATCTTTCCCTCCCTCTTTCCGGACTGGTTGATCCCGCGAGAAAAGGGGGCGTGGGAAAAGAGGGGCCGGCGCTTCCCCTTCCTGTCCCCCACTTCCTCTTCCTCCACTTCCTGTTTGGCTCCGTTTCCCTCTTCTTCCCTCGGTTTCCCCTCTTTCTCCTTTGGGCCTGGCATTCTCTTCCTCTTCCCCCTCTCTGCTCCTTCCTTCCTTCCTTCCTTCCTTCTTTCTTTTCCTTCCCTCTCTCCTTCCTCCCTTCCTTCCTTGCTTCCTCCCCTTTCCCCTTCTTCCACTTCCTTTTCAACATCCTCCTTCCCTCTACCTTTTCTCTTCATCTCATCTATTTCCTCTTCTCCCTTCCTCTTCCTCTTCCCTCTCCCAATTTCCCTCATTCCTCTTTCTCCTCCTCTCCTCCTACCTTCTTTCCTTCCTTTCCTCTTCCTTTCTCTCCTTCCTCTTCCTTTCCATTCCTCTTCCCTCTCCCAAACTCCCTTATTTCCTCCTTTCCTATTTCTCCTCCCCTTCCTCCTCTCTCCCTCCCTTCCTTTTCCTCTTCCTTTCTCTCCTTCTTCATCTTTCCTCTTCCTTTCCATTCTGCCTCTTTCCTTTCCCATTTCCCCTCATTTCCTTTTTCTCCTCCCCTTCCTTTTCCTTTCTTTCCCTCCTTCCTCTTTCCTCTCCCAATTTCCCTCATTTCCTTTTTCTCCTCCCCTTTCTCTCCTTCCTTCCTTCCATCTTTCCTTTTCCTCTTCCTTTCCTCCCTCCCTCCCTTCTCTTTCCTTGTCCCCCTTCCTTCCTTCCATCCATTTCCTCTTCCCTTCCCCCCTTCCTTTTCCTCCTTCCTTTCCCTTCTTCCTCTTTCCTCTCCCACTTTCCCTCATTTCCTCTTTCTTCCCCTCCTTTCCCTTCTTCATCTTTCCTCTTCCTTTCCTCCTTCCTCTTTTCCCATTTCCCTCATTTCCTTTTCCTCTTTCTCCTCCCCTTCCTTTTCCTTTCCCTCCTTCCTCTTTCCTCTCCCAATTTCCCTCATTTCCTTTTCCCCTTTCCTTCTTCATCCTTCCTCATCCTTCCCCTCCTTCCTCTTTTCCCATTTTCCCTCCTTTCCTTTTCCCCTTCCTTCCTTCCTTCCTTCCTTCCCCTCCTTCCTTTTTTCCCATTTTCCCTCCTTTCCTTTTCCCCTTCCTTCCTTCCTTCCTTCCTTCCTTCCATCCATCTTTCCTTTTCCTCTTCCTTTCCTTCCTCCCTCCCTTCTCTTTCCTTGTCCCCTTTCCTTCCATCCATCCATTTCCTCTTCCCTTCCCCTCTTCTTCTTCCCCTCCTTCCCTTCTTCATCCTTCCTCTTCCTTCCCCTCCTTCCTCTTTTCCCATTTCCCTCATTTCCTTTCCCCTTCCTTCCTCCCTCTTCCTCCCTTCTTCTTCCTCCTTCCTTTCCCTCCTTCCTCTTTCTTCTCCCTCCTTTCCTTCCTTCCCTCCTTCATCCTTCCTCCTCCTTCCCCTCCTTTCCTTTTCCCCTTCCTTCCATCTTTCCTTTTCCCCTTCCTTCCTTCCTTCCTTCCTTCCATCCATTTCCTCTTCCCTTCCCCCTTCTTCCTCCTTCCTTCCCCTTCTTCCTCTTTCCTCTCCCACTTTCCCTCATTTCCTCTTTCTCCTCCCCTCCTTCCCTTCCTTTCCCTTCTTCATCCTTCCTCTTCCTTTCCCTCCTTCCTCTCTTCCCATTTCCCCTTTCCTTTTCCCCTTCCTTCCATCTTTCCTTTTCCCCTTCCTTTCCTTCCTCCCTCCCTCCCTCCCTTCTCTTTCCTTGTCCCCCTTCCTTCCTTCCTTCCATCCATTTCCTCTTCCCTTCTCTTCTTCTTCCTCCTTCCTTTCCCTCATTTCCTCTTTCTCCTCCCCTCTTTCCCTTCCTTTCCCTCCTTCCTCTTTTCCCATTTCCCCTCCTTTCCTTTCCCCCTTCCTTCCTTCCTTCCTTCCTTCCTTCCTTCCTTCCTCTTCCCCCCTTCCTCTTCCTCCCCCACTGACCTATAAAGCACCCTGCCTCCGCCTCCTCCTTCTTCTGGAACGGGAACCCTAGCGCGCCCGGGCGCGGCGCCCGCTTTCCGGACCGCCTTGTTTGTGGAACGGGCGCCTGCGCCATGCGTCTGAATAAACCCCTCAAGCACCTTGGGAACCGTAGTCCGTTCAGCGGCGCCTTGGGAACCGTAGTACGCCCAGTGGCACCTTGGGAATTGTAGCACGCCCAGTGGCATCTTGGGAATTGTAGCACGCCCAGTGGCGCCTTGGGAACCGTAGTACGCCCAGGGGCGCCTTGGGAACCGTAGTACGCCAGTGGCACCTTGGGAACCGTAGTACGCCCAGTGACATCTTGGGAACTGTAGTACGCCCAGCGGCACCTTGGGAACTGTAGTATGCCCAGTGGCAGCTTGGGAACCGTAGTACGCCCAGCGGCACCTTGGGAATTGTAGTACGCCCAGCGGCACCTCGGGAACCGTAGTACGCCCAGCGGCACCTTGGGAATTGTAGTACGCCCAGCGGCGCCTTGGGAATTGTAGTACGCCCAGTGGCGCCTTGGCATTGTAGTACGCCCAGCGGCGCCTTGGGAACTGTAGTACGCCCAGTGGCACCTTGGGAACTGTAGTACGCCCAGTGGCACCTTGGGAACTGTAGCACGCCCAGTGGCATCTTGGGAGCCGTAGTACGCCCAGTGGCATCTTGGGAACCGTAGTACGCCCAGTGGCATCTTGGGAACTGTAGTACGCCCAGTGGCACCTTGGGAACCGTAGTACGCCCAGTGACATCTTGGGAACTGTAGTACGCCCAGCGGCACCTTGGGAACTGTAGTATGCCCAGTGGCAGCTTGGGAACCGTAGTACGCCCAGTGGCACCTTGGGAATTGTAGTACGCCCAGTGGCATCTTGGGAACTGCAGCACGCCCAGTGGCATCTTGGGAACTGTAGTACGCCCAGCGGCACCTTGGGAACTGTAGTACGCCCAGTGGCATCTTGGGAATTGTAGTACGCCCAGTGGCGCCTTGGGAATTGTAGTACGCCCAGCGGCACCTTGGCATTGTAGTACGCCCAGCGGCACCTTGGGAACTGTAGTACGCCCAGCGGCACCTTGGGAACCGTAGTACGCCCAGTGGCATCTTGGGAACTGTAGGACGCCCAGCGGCACCTTGGGAACCGTAGTACGCCCAGTGGCACCTTGGGAACTGTAGTACGCCCAGCGGCGCCTTGGGAACCGTAGTACGCTCAGTGGCATCTTGGGAACCGTAGTACGCCCAGTGGCACCTTGGGAATTGTAGTACGCCCAGTGGCACCTTGGGAATTGTAGTACGCCCAGTGGCGCCTTGGGAACTGTAGTACGCCCAGTGGCATCTTGGGAACCGTAGTACGCCCAGTGGCATCTTGGGAAGTGTAGTACGCCCAGTGGCATCTTGGGAACCGTAGCACGCCCAGTGGCATCTTGGGAACCGTAGTACGCCCAGTGGCATCTTGGGAACTGTAGTACGCCCAGTGGCATACTACAGCCACTGGCTGCAGTGGCTGCTGCAACTCCCAGAGTTCCCTGGGCCAGAAGGAGGGAGCTGGGAACCGTAGTCCCTGCAGCACCATGGGAATCGTAGTCCGCTCAGCGGCGCCTTGGGAACCGTAGTACGCTCAGTGGCGCCTTGGGAACTATAGCGTGATCCACAGGCGCCGATAACCATGGGAACTAGCTAGGGATCATGGGAGTTGTAGTCCCAAAGAGATGGAAAGACGACAGGAAACTACAGTTCCCATGACCCGTCTTCAAAGCGGGAATTGTAGTTTGCTCCAGGCGCCGCTCCTTCCTGTGGAAAACTACAGTTCCCAGAACGCTCCTCTGGGAACTGTAGTTCGGGGAGAAGAGGGTGTCATGGCCGCCAGAAACTACAGTTCCCAGAACCGGGCGCAGGCGGGAAGACATGACAGCCGTTTGGGGCGCCAAACCCCCAAAGCCAAGATGTCCGTATTGGGAGTTATAGTTCTGCAAGGCGCCTCCTGGAGGATACTACAGTTCCCGGCCCCGTTTTGGGATTCGAACCCGGATCCCGGCCTCTTGGGAACTGTAGTTTGTATGTCCATAGTGGGGAATTTGAGGCGCCTGGTACTACAGTTCCCGGCGCCCTTTTGGGAACCGTAGTTTCTGACCGATGATCGGCGCCCGGGAGCCGGGTTCGAATCCTGAACCAATAGAAACGCAAGAATGGAAGCCTTGGCGCCCGGAACGCTACGTTTCCCGCCGGGCGCCGGGTGCGAATTTTTATTTCATTGGGGGGGATCAAATAAATCAGTAGCCGTCGTCCGACCAGGTGACTTGGTAGTCCGGGAAAGCGGCGCCCAGTTTTTCGGTGGTGACGGAATGCGGCGCGCGCCCGAAACCCTACAAGATAATTAATACTAATTAGTCGTAATTAATAAAAATAATAATCAATAAGATTAATAAAATGATGATGATAATTTAATTGTGACATCAAGCAAGAAAATGCAGTAAGAATAATCGCAGGAATGATGGGAATTGTAGTTTTCTCAGCTGTTTGGGACTGCAACTCCCATGATTCCTAGCTAGGGGGAAAACTACAATTCCCATCAGGCCCGGCTAGCTAGGGATGATGGGAATTGTAGGTTTCTCAGCTGTTTGGGACTACAACTCCCATGATGCCTAGCTAGCGGGAAACTACCATTCCCATCATCCCTGACCGCTGGTCCGGCTAGTTATGGATGATGGGAATTGTAGTTTTCCGCACTGTTTGGGACTACAACTCCCATGATCCCTAGCGAACCGGAAAAACTACCATTCCCATCAGCCCTGACTGCTGGTCCGGCTAGCTAGGGATCATGGGAATTGTAGTTTTCCCAGCTCTTTGGGACTACAACTCCCATGATCCCTAGCTAGTGGGAAAACCACAATTCCCATCATCCCTGAGCGCTGGTCTGGCTAGCTAGGGATCATGGGAATTGTAGTTTTTTCCACCTCTTTGGGAGTACAGCTCCCATGATCCCTAGCTAACCGGAAAAACTACCATTCCCATCATCCCTGACTGCTGGTCCGGCTAGTTATGGATTATGGGAATTGTAGTTTTCCCCACTGTTTGGGACTACAACGCCCATGATCCTTTGCTAGCCGGCCCAGCGGTCAGGGATGATGGGAATTGTAGTTTTCCCCACTGTTTGGGACTACAACGCCCATAATCCCTAGCTGGCTGGAAAAACTACAATTCCCATCATCCCTGACCGCTGGTCCGGCTAGTTATGGCTCATAGGAATTGTAGTTTTTTCCACTGTTTGGGACTACAACTCCCATGATCCCTAGCTGGCTGGAAAAACTACCATTCCCATCATCCCTGACTGCTGGTCCGGCTACTTATGGCTCATGGGAATTGTAGTTTTCCCCACTGTTTGGGACTACAACTCCCATGATCCCTAGTGAACCACAAAAACTACAATTCCCATCATCCCTGACTGCTGGTCCGGCTAGTTATTGATGATGGGAATTGTAGTTTTTTCCACTGTTTGGGACTACAACTCCCATGATCCCTAGCTAACCGGAAAAACTACCATTCCCATCATCCCTGACTGCTGGTCCGGCTAGTTATGGCTCATGGGAATTGTAGTTTTTTTCCACTGTTTGGGACTACAACTCCCATGATCCCTAGCTGGCTGGAAAAACTACAATTCCCATCATCCCTGACTGCTGGTCCGGCTCGCTAGGGATCATGGGAACGGTAGTTTTCCCCACTGTTTGGGACTACAACTCCCATGATCCCCAACTAACCGGAAAAACTACCATTCCCATCATCCCTGACTGCTGGTCCGGCTAGTTATGCATTATGGGAATTGTAGTTTTTCCCTCTGTTTGGGACTACAACGCCCATGATCCCTAGCTGGCTGGAAAAACTACAATTCCCATCATCCCTGACCGCTGGTCCGGCTAGTTATGCATTATGGGAATTGTAGTTTTTTCCACTGTTTGGGACTACAACTCCCATGATCCCTAGCTAACCAGACAAGCAGTCAGGGATGATGGGAATTGTAGTTTCCCTCCACCTCTTTGGGAGTACAACTCCCATGATCCCTAGCTAGCGGGGAAAACTACCATTCCCATCATCCCTGAGCGCTGGTCCGGCTAGTGAGGGATCATGGGAATGGTAGTTTTTTTAGCTGTTTGGGACTACAACTCCCATAATCCCTAGCTAGCTGGACCAGAGATCAGGGATCATGGGAATCGTCGTTTTTTCCAGCTCTTTGGGACTACAGCTCCCATGATCCTTAACTAACAGGACTAGTCTGGGGATGGTGGGAATTGTAGTTTCTTCCATCTGTTTGGGACTACAACTCCCATAATCCCTAGCTAGGGATGATGGGAACTGTAGTTTTTCCAGCTCTTTGGGACTACAACTCCCATGATCCCTAGCTGGCTGGAAAAACTACAATTCCCATCATCCCTGACTGCTGGTCCAGCTGGTTATGCATTATGGGAATTGTAGTTCTCCCCAATGTTTGGGACTACAACTCCCATGATCCTTTGCTAGCCAGACCAGCTGTCAGAGCTGATGGGAATTGTAGTTTTCCCCACTGTTTGGTCAGGGATGATGGGAACTGTAGTTTTTCCAAGCTCTTTGGGACTACAACTCCCATGATCCTTTGCCAGCCAGCTCAGCTGTCAGGGATGATGGGAATTGTAGTTTCCCTCCACCTCTTTGGGACTACAACTCCCATGATCCTTTGCTAGCCGGCCCAGCTGTCAGGGATGATGGGAACTGTATTTTTCCCCAGCTCTTTGGGACTACAACTCCCATGATCCTTTGCTAGCGGTAAGGGATGATGGGAATTGTAGTCCCCTCTAGGATGGAGATTCACTCACCACGGAGTAGCCATAGACGTGGATCTTGCGGGATCCGCTCTGGCGGGAGATCCGCCCGCCGCCCAGACACTCGCACTCAAAGCCCAGCCGGGAGAGATCCTCCGAGATCCGGTCATAGATGTCGGCTAGAAGGGAAATAATAGTAATAATAATAATAATAACGCAATAATATGGTAATAATATTCGTCCAATCGGAACCCGCTCTCTCCCCGCTTCGCCCAATGGGAATCCATAAACGTCCTTCTCTCCCCGCCTTCAATATCCACATGCCTACGCCTCGCCCAATCGGAACCCGCAACGGCGTTCTAGCCCCGCCTTCTCTGTGCCCGTCACTACGTCTCACCCAATCAGAAGTCGCTACCTAAGATCCATCCCGCCTTCACTTTCCACCAGCCTGCGCCTCGCCCAATCGGAACCCGCAACCGGCGTTCTCTCCCCGCCTCGCCCACGTCTCTCCCAATCTGAACACACAACCCGCCTCCACTATATAACGTTCCTGCGCCTCGCCCAATCGGAAGTCGCAACCGGCGTTCCATCACCGCCCCAAGCATACGCTTTGTCCAATCGGAACCCGCCACCGTCGTTCTCTCCCCGCCTTCACTAGCCACATGCCTGCGCCTCGCCCAATCAGAACCGGCAACCGCTCCCCGCCTCGCCCAATCAGAACCCGCAACCGGCGTTCTCTCCCCGCCTGCACTGTCCACTTGCCTGCGCCTCGCCCAATCGGAACGCGCAACCGGCATTCCATCCCGGCCGCGCCCAATCGGAACCCACAACCGTCCTTCTCTCCCCGCCTCGCCTAGGCCTCGCCCAATCGGAAACCTCCACAGTCGTTCTCTCCCCACCTCCGCTGTTGACGTGCATGCGCCTCGGCCAATCAGAATTCGCCCCCGGCATTCTGCGCCCGCGTCCCCTCACCGTGATATTCGGCCCAGGCGTAGCCGCGCACGACGTCCTTCCCCGGCCCGGCGCCCGGCGCCGTGACGCGGATGAGGACGTACTTGAAGACGCCGTCGGCCTCGTCGATATCCACGTCGGGAACGCGCGTCAAGTCTCCGTCCGCCATTGCTGCGCTTTCTGAGGAGAAATGAGGAGCGCCAACGGCCCAGCCAATCAGCTCCCGCGTTGAAAGGCGCGGGGCCAATGGCGGCTCGGGGTGCGCTGAAGACCCACCTCGAAGGCGGGGTTACGTCCGTGACAGGTAGGCTCAGCCAATAGGCGCGTCGCTTCTAGCAGGCTTGGCCAATGGTGCGTCTGACACCGAGCAGGGGCGGGATTTAGTTATCTGATAGGCGCCTCAGCCAATCGGCGCGCCGCTAGGACTCCTTACCCAATCGTGGCTCGCAGCACCGCCTCAGGGGCGGGCGTTAGGTTCGCCTCAGCCAATCGGCGCGCCGACAGCACACTATCGCTCGAGCGAACTACAATCCCCGTGATGCTTTGCGACCAGGCTTAGCAGAGGGAATGGCCACGCCAAGCCCCAGGTGCACCTTGGGAAATGTAGTTTCCGGGACCAGGCTGACCCCATAAGTGGACCAGGCTGCCCCCCACAAGTGGACCAGGCTGCCTCCCCACAAGTGGACCAGGCTGACCCCACAAGTGGACCAGGCTGCCCCCCACAAGTGGACCAGGCTGACCCCACACATGGACCAGGCTCCTCCCCACAAGTGGACCAGGCTGACCCCACAAGTGGACCAGGCTGACCCCACAAGTAGACCAGGCTCCTCCCCACAAGTGGACCAGGCTGCTCCCCACAAGTGGACCAGGCTGCTCCCCACAAGTAGACCAGGCTGCCACCCCACAAGTGGACCAGGCTGCCCCCCACAAGTGGATTAGGCTGCTCCCCACAAGTGGACCAGGCTGCTCCCCACAAGTGGACCAGGCTGCTCCCCACAAGTAGACCAGGCTTCTCCCCACAAGTGGACCAGGCTTCTCCCCCCCATAAGTGGAGAAGGCGACGCCCCATAAGTAGACCAGGCTCCTCCCCACAAGTGGACCAGGCTGCCCCCCACAAGTGGATTAGGCTGCTCCCCACAAGTGGACTAGGCTGCTCCCCACAAGTGGACCAGGCTGCTCCCCACAAGTAGACCAGGCTTCTCCCCACAAGTGGACCAGGCTTCTCCCCCCCATAAGTGGACAAGGCTTCTCCCCATAAGTAGACCAGGCTCCTCCCCACAAGTGGAACAGGCTGACCCCATAAGTGGACCAAGCTGCTCCCCACAAGTAGACCAGGCTTCTCCCCACAAGTGGACCAGGCTTCTCCCCCCCATAAGTGGACGAGGCTTCTCCCCATAAGTAAACCAGGCTCCTCCCCACAAGTGGAACAGGCTGACCCCACAAGTGGACCAGGCTCCTCCCCACAAGTAGACCAGGCTGCTCCCCACAAGTGGACCAGGCTGACCCCACAAGTAGACCAGGCTGACCCCACAAGTGGACCAGGCTGTTCCCCACAAGTGGACCAGGCTGACCCCATAAGTGGACCAGGCTGCCCCACAAGTGAACCAGGCTGCTCCCCACAAGTGGACCAGGCTGCCACCCCACAAGTGGACCAGGCTGACCCCATAAGTGGACCAGGCTGCCCCCACAAGTGGACCAGGCGTCTCCCCACAAGTGGACCAGGCTGCTCCCCACAAATGGACCACGCTGCTCCCCACAATTGGACCAGGCTGCCACCCCACAAGTGGACCAGGCTGTTCCCCACAAGTGGACCAGGCTGCCACCCCACAAGTGGACCAGGCTGCTCCCCACAAGTAGACCAGGCTTCTCCCCACAAGTGGACTCAGGCTGCCTCACAAGTGGACCAGGCTGCTCCCACAGTAGACCCAGGCTTCTCCCACAAGTGGACCAGGCTCTCCCCATAAGTGACGAGGCTTCCCCATAAGTAGACCAGGCTCCTCCCCACAAGTGGAACAGGCTGACCCATAAGTGGACCAAGCTGCCCCCACAAGTGGACCAGGCTTCTCCCACAAGTGACCAGGCTCTCCCCATAAGTGGACGAGGCTCTCCCCATAAGTGGACCAGGCTGCTCCCCACAAGTGGACCAGGCTGCTCCCACAAGTGGACCAGGCTGCTCCCACAAGCAGACCAGGCTCTCCCAGTGGACCAGGCTTCTCCCCCCCATAAGTGGACGAGGCTTCTCCCCATAAGTAAACCAGGCTCCTCCCCACAAGTGGAACAGGCTGACCCCACAAGTAGACCAGGCTGCTTCCCCTCCGCCCCCCATAAGTGGACCAGGCTGACCCCATAAGTGGACCAGGCTCCTCCCCACAAGTGGACCAGGCTCCTCCCCACAAGTTCATTTCCCATCCGCTTCCCCTTTAAGGCGCTCTTCCTCCTTTCGCCCGCACGGTGGCGCTGCGGAGCTGGCAGCGCTCCCTCCACTGCGGCTGCGCGGAGCCGACAGGCCCGGCGACATCGGAGGCTTCGGACCGCTCCAAATCGCCCTGACATCGCGGGGGGGAATTGGAAGAGACCATCGCCCTTTCCCTCCTGTCCGGTGGGGGGGGGAAGCGGCTGGACCGATGGTCGGACCGATTCCCGGGGAAGGGGGGGATCTCCGGTTTCCTCCCCCTCCTGCTGGAGGTGGTTCCTGCCAAGGTGACGTCAGGCCGGCGCTTGGAAGCCCCCAAACCCCACCCCACCCCCGCCGGCAGCGCCGGATGGTTTGGCTCGGCTGTAGAGAAGCGGGAGGGGGACGAGACCATTTGCGGAGATAGGGGGGAGGGATCGTCCACTTGGAGGCAGAGGGGAGCAGAATGGGCCATTTGTGGGGGGCAGAGGGGGAGCAGCCTGGTTCACTTGTGGGGAGAAGCCTGGTCCACTTGTGGGGGGCAGAGGGGGAGAAGCCTGGTCCACTTGTGGGGAGAAGCCTGGTCCACTTGTGGGGAGCAGCCTAGTCCACTGGTGGGGGGCAGAAGGGGGCAGTCTGGTCTACTTGTGGGGAGGAGCTTGGTTCACTTGTGGGGAGCAGCCTGGTACACTTGTGGGGGGCAGAAGGGGGCAGTCTGGTCTACTTGTGGGGAGGAGCCTGGTTCACTTGTGGGGAGCAGCCTGGTACACTTTTGGGGGGCAGAAGGGGGCAGTCTGGTCTACTTGTGGGGAGGAGCTTGGTTCACTTGTGGGGAGCAGCCTGGTACACTTGTGGGGGGCAGAAGGGGGCAGTCTGGTCTACTTGTGGGGAGGAGCTTGGTTCACTTGTGGGGAGCAGCCTGGTACACTGGTGTGGAGCAGACGGGTGCAGTCTGGTCTACTTGTGGGCAGGATCCTGGTTCACTTGTGGGGGGCAGAAGGGGGCAGTCTGGTCGACTTGTGGGGAGAAGCCTGGTCGACTTGTGGGGAGAAGCCTGGTCCACTTATGGGGAGAAGCCTGGTCCACTTGTGGGGAGAGGCCTGGTCCACTTGTGGGAAGAAGCCTGGTCCACTTATGGGGAGAAGCCTGGTCCACTTGTGGGGAGAGGCCTGGTCCACTTGTGGGAAGAAGCCTGGTTCACTTGTGGGGGGCAGAAGGGGGCAGTCTGGTCTACTTGTGGGGAGGAGCCTGGTTCACTTGTGGGGAGCAGCCTGGGACAATGGTGGTGGCGGAGGGGGGAGCAGCCTGGTCCACTTGTGGGGAGAAGCCTGGTCCACTTGTGGGGAGAAGCCTGGTCCACTTTTGGGGGGCAGAGGGGGAGCAGCCTGGTCTACTTGTGGGGAGCAACCTGGTCCACTTGTGGGGGGCAGAGGGGGAGGAGCCTGGTCCAATTATGGGGTGCAGCTTGGTCCACTTGTGGGGGGCAGAGGGGGAGCAGCCTGGTCTACTTGTGGGGAGCAACCTGGTCCACTTGTGGGGGGCAGAGGGGGAGCAGCCTGGTCCACTTGTGGGGAGAAGCCTGGTCCACTTATGGGGGGCGGAGGGGGAGCAGCCTGGTCCACTTGTGGGGGGCAGAAGGGGGCAGTCTGGCCTACTTGTGGGGAGGAGCCTGGTTCACTTGTGGGGGGCAGCCTTTTCCACTTGTGGGGGGCAGAGGGGGAGCAGCCTGGTCCACGTGTGTGGGGCAACCTGGTCTACTTATGGGGGGCGGAGGGGGAGCAGCTTAGTCCCCTTGTGGGGAGTTGCTCTTTGACTCTTATAACCGAAGCTTGCCCCTGAGCATGCGCAGAGTGCCTTTGCTTCCCCCCATCGCTGACCCTTCCCTTCTCCTGTTTCAAACTCTAGGCCCCTCGCCTGACGCCCCGGGGAGCAGCATGGAGCGCCGGCCCCACGCCCCGCGACGCCTGCCAGGCCAGGTAGGGCACCCACCTTTAGCTGCTACCTTTCATGAGGCGGGGAGTTCCCCAGATTGCCAGAAGCAGGGTAGTTTTTCCTGCTAGCTAGGGATCATGGGAATTGTAGTCCCAAAGAGCTGGGACATTGGGAATTGTAGTTTTCCATGGGAATCTTTGGGACTCCCCGCCACTTGACGCCCCTTCCTCTCCCCCAGGATTCGCACTGAGGGCGGCGCGGCGCCGTGCCCGCCCCTCCGAAGATGACCCGCACCCACCCTCCGGACCTCCTCCGCCACGTCCAGACGGCGCCGCCCTTCCCCTGCGCCATGTCGGCGGCGCCCCAGCCCTTCCACAAGCGCCACTGCCGCAGCTTCGACTTCCTGGAGTGGCTGGACGACGAGCCCCCGGCGCCCGCCGCCCGGCGCGGGCGCGAGGCCCCCGGGACCCGGCGCCCGGGCCCGCTCCAAAGCGCCGGGCGCCACGCCAACGAGCTGCACCCGGTCAAGCTCCAGCCCCAGCGCAGCCGCATCTCCCCTTCCAGGGCGCCCAGTACGGCGCCAGCGCGCCGCCCGCCAACGCCCCGCGCCGGCGCCTGGACATCAAGCCCGACCCGCCGCCGCGCTACGTCTCCCCGGCGAGGAGCGGCCTGACCGTGCCCGGCGCCTGGCGCCCCTCCCGCACCCCCACGCCCAGCGACACCTACGAGGACCGGGCGCCGGCAGAACCGTACGACCCGAACCCGCAACCGGCGCCCCTCCAGGTCTTCTACGCCGGCGACGGAGCGTACGCGCCACCGCCGCGCCCGGTCCGGAACTACGTTTCCCCCTTCCTCGACGCCCACCCTGTCCGGGAGGCGCCCAGCCGGACAAACTACGTTTCCCCGTTTTACGGCGCTGTGCCAACGTTCGACGGCGCCGTGCCAACGTTCGAGGGCGCCGCGCCTCCCTTTTACGGCGCCGCCCCACCCTTTTACAGCGCCGCGCCACCGGGCGCCGCCCCGCCCTTCGACGGCATCGCGCCCGTCCAGGCGCCGGTCTCACGAACCTACCCTCACCCGTACGGCGCCTGGCGCCCAGTGGCGGCGCCCTACCAGACGTGGCAGGTCGGGTGCTACCCGCCGGGCGCCGCCCAATCCTCCTGGCACGCGCCGCGCCTGGGAACCGAAGCGCGCAGCCACTCCAAGTCGTGGGACGACATCCTGGCGCCGCGTGGGCGCCCCGACCAGCCGCTGTGGCGCGGGCGCAGCTACGAGAACATTCTAGCGCGCCACCAGGCGCCGCCGGCCCTCTCGCCCGACCCCCGGCGCCCGGCGCCCGTGGTGGTGACGCTCTCCAGCTCCCCCAAACGCTACGCCGCCCTCTCCCTCTCGGAAAACTCGCTTCTGGAGAAAGCGGGCGCCGCCGGGCGCGGCGCCTGGTTCGTGACGCCGGAGATCACCATCACCGACAACGAGATCCCCGGGCGCCAGGCGCCGGCGCGCCAACGCAGCTTGGAGCAGCTGGACCAGCTCATCACGGACCTGGTGATCGACTACAAACCGGGCGCCGATCCCGAGCGCCCGGCGGAGACGCCGGGCGCCAGCTCTCCGGACGCCAGCACCGACGAGGACGACGTCATGTGCTCCAACGCCCGCTGCGGGCGCACGGAAACGATGTTTCACGCCTGCCTCTACTTCAAGTCCTGCCACAGCTGCCGCACCCTCTACTGCTCGCGCCACTGCCGGCGCCAGGACTGGCGCCGCCACAAGGAGCGCTGCGCCGCCGGCCGGGCTGCCAGCGCCTGCCGCAACGCGCCACGTTTCTCCCGAGAGGACGCGGCGGCGCACCGGGCCTTCTCCCGCTTGGCGCGGGTCGGGTACCTCTCCCGCGGGCGCGGCGTCCTCTTCCTCGGCTTCCCCGCCGCCGCCGCCGCCGAAAGCTTCCTGCGCGCCGGGCTGGGCGCCCTGGCGGCGGCGCCAACTTACCTCTCCCTCCGGGAAGTGGGCGCCCACGCCGGGAACCTGGGGGCCTACGCCCGGGAGTTGCAGCGCGCCGGGGAGGATTACGACCCGGCCGAATGCTTCGTGCTGAACGTCACCGTGGCGGCGGGCGACGGGCACCCGGGTGCGCGCCAGCACGCCAAGGTGGCGCTGGCGGCCTCGGCGCCGCCGCCGGGCGCCGAGATCGAGACGCTGATTTTGACGCCGCCGCCGGGCGCCGGCGACCAGGAGGACCGGCGGGCGCGGGAGGTGTGCTTTGTCCACATCCAGCGGGAGCTGCGCGCCCGGGGCGTGGCGCTGCGGCGCGAGTTCCCGGAGGTCTACGGGCGCCTGGTGGCCTTTGTGGAGAGCGGGCGCCGCTTCACGCCCACCACTATCTATCCCGTCGACAAGAGGACGGGCAAGCAGTTCCTCTGCATGATCATGGCGGGATCCGAACCCCGGACCCTGGACTGGGTGGCCAGTCCCAATTTGCTGGACGAGCTGATGTAGCGGAGGCAAGCGGCGGGGAGTTCCGAGGGACGGAAAAAAGAAACGGGCGCCGTTTTGGGCATGTTTTTGGGTTCAAGTGGCGGGGAGTTCCACTGGGAAGAACGGACCAAAAAGCACTGGAAATGGGCGCTGTTTTGATGCAGTTTGTGCAATGTTTCTGTGCTCAAGTGGCAGGGAGTTCCACTGGGAAGAACGGAGAAAAAAGCACTGGAAACGGGGCTGTTTTGATGCAGTTTGTGCAATGTTTCTGGCTTCAAGTGGCAGGGAGTTCCACTGGGAAGAACGGACAAGACAGCACTGGAAATGGGCGCTGTTTTGATGCAGTTTGTGCACGTTTTTGGGTTCAAGTGGCAGGGAGTTCCACCGGGAAGAACGGACCAAATAACACCAGAAATACACCAGTATTGCTGCAGTTCGTGCGACGTTTCTTGGTTCAAGTGGCAGGGAGTTCCGACAGACAAAAAACTCCGCTTTGCTGCGGCTTGTGGGACTTTTCTGTGTTCAAGTAGCAGAGAGTTCCAACGGAAGGAACGGAAAACGGGTGGCGATTTGCTGCAGTCTGTGCAATGTTTCTGTGTCGAAGTGGCAGGGAGTTCCAACGCCCTCGGAAATCCCCGATTTATCGGCGACAATTTGTACGTTTATTTGGGATCGTTATTGTGGATCCTCGTTATTGGATAACGATGGAAGGATTGAAATTCAAAAGAATACAGAATAAGACAGAAGTTCAAAAGAAGAGAGTAATTCAAAATCATCATCCTCATGTTTTAGAAACTGGCACGAAAATCGGCCCAAAAAGGCTATTTCCTCCCGGAATGGCAAATCTTATCGATATGTTTTATCGGACGATTACGATGGTGAAGTTTTATATTATTATTATTATTATTATGGTTTTGATTATTATTATTATTTTGTATTATTATTATTATTTTTGCACATTGGAGGGCAGATTGAATATCGTATCAGCAAAAAGATACCTTTCCTTTGACGGTTCTGGAAAAGGATCGATATTATTATTGTATTAATATTAATATTATTGTATGCTAATATTAATAATATGAATTACTGTTGTTATTATTTATTATTATTTTAATTATTGATGTTGTTATTCTTTATTATTAACAATATTAATTTATTATTATTATTATTATTTATTAACAATATTAATTTATTATTATTGTTATTATTATCATTATTATTATTTATTAATAATATTAATTTATTATTATTATTTATTATTAATAATATTAATTTATTATAATTATAATTATTATTATTATTATCATCGGAAGGTGATGAGATAGCAAACTGTCAAATGGGTGCACCAGACGAAGGAATTGTATGTCGAATGCCAAATCCGATCAAAATCCTATTTTTCCCCCTGGAGGATTGAGCGGTTTGTAAACGGTGCATTTTTATTAATTCTTAATAATTATTATTGTTTGTTATTATTATTATTATCATCGGAAGGTTCATGTGACAAGCTGTAAAATGGGCGCGTCGGACGAAGGAATTGTATGTCGAATGCCAAATCCTATCCAAAGGTTATTTTTTTGTGTCAATTGTGGGGAAAAAGACGAATGCATGTTCTATTTATTTCCTTAAAGAAAGAGAAATCTATATATATATATATATATATAGTTGCCCAAATCTTGAAATGTATTTTCTGCTGGAGAAATATAAGAAGCATGTCTATGTATGTTTATATGGAAAGGTATAAAAAGAGGAGAATTTATTTGCCTGGAATAAAGACGAAACGGAACTCGAACTCGCAACCGTGGCATTATTATTATTATTATTATTATTATTATTATTTTATTTTATTATTATTATTATTAATTTATTTGTATTATGACTTGCCCTTAATTTATTTATTATTTGTTTTATTATTATCAGTTGCCCTTAATTTAATTATTATTTTTTATACAGCTATTATTGGCACACGATTCATTATTCATTATTATATTATTGTTATTATTATTATTATAATTTATTTGTATTATGAGTTGCCCTTAATTAATTTATTATTTGTTTTATTATTATTAGTTCCCCTTAATTTATTTATTATTTGTTTTATTATTATCAGTTGCACTTAATTTAATTATTATTTTTCATACAACTATTATTTGCCCACGATTCATTCTTCGTTGATTACTATTTCCACTTCCTTTATTTATGATTAATTTATTTGTATTATGAGTTGCCCTCAATTTACTTATTATTTGTTATATTATTATTATTTTAGTTCCCCTTAATTTATTACTTTTATACAACATAGAATTATTTGATTCTTAAATAATATTCATACATATGAATAACACTAAGACATTAATAATATTAAAATAATATAAATATATTGATATAAATATATTTATATTTATTAATATATTTATTAATATTAAGTAATATATTAATATAATATAATATAATATAATATAATATAATATAATATAATAGTAATAAATGATTAAATAATATTAATATATTTACTTATTATTTGTTATATTATTATTATTATTAGTTCCCTTAATTTATTTATTACTTTTATACAACATAGAATTATTTGATTCTTAAATAATATTAATACATATTAATAACACTAATACGATAATAATGTTAAAATAATATAAATATATTGATAGAAATATATTAATATTTATTAATATATTTATTAATATAAATATAATATATTAATTAATATAATATAATATAATATAATATAATAGTAATTAATGATTAAATAATATTATTTAATCAATAATTACAATTATATTACTATATATATATATATATATATATTATACTATTATATTACTATTAATTATATATTATATTACTATTATATTATATTATATTATATTAATTACTATTATATTAATCATTAATTACTGTAATATTAATCATTAATTACTATAATATTATATATTATATTATACTATTATATTATATTAATATATTTATTAATATTAATAAATATATTATATTTATATTATATTATATATATATATATTTATATTCTATTCTATTAATATTAATTAAATATATTGATACAAATATATTGATCTTATTTAATTAACAATTGCTATTAATTTATAGATTCATCTATAGAATTAAATAAATATTGATTTATCTCTTTTCCCAAATTGCCTTGCTGGGAATTATAGTTTTTGATGGGAATTCTAGCACTGCCTGGGAAGAAGGCGCAACTTTGGGCCTGAAAACTACACTTCCCAAGGTGCACCTGGGGCTTGGCCTGGCCATTCCTCTGCTAAGCCTGGACGCAAAGCCTCATGGGGATTGTAGTTCGCTCAGGACGCCTTTCAAACCTCTAGCGGCGCACCGATTGGCTGAGGCGCCTATCAAAGACCCTAACTCCGCCCCATCCGACGCACGATTGGACACGCAGATAAAAGCGACGTGCCCATTGGCTGAGCCTCCCTGCGCCGGCCTATGAAAGAACCTAATCCCGCCCCCCGCGCGGCATCCGACGCACGATTGGCCCCGCCGGCGAGAAGCGACGCGCCCATTGGTCGAGCCTACCTGTCATCGACGTAACCCCGACCCTGGGGTGGGTCTTGAGCACACGCCGAGCCGCCATTGGCCCCGCGCCTTTCAACGCGGGAGTTGATTGGCTGGGCTGTTCGCGCTCCTCATTTCTCCTCAGAAAGCGCAGCAATGGCGGACGGAGAGCTGGAAGCGCGTTGGCGGCGAGGATATCGACGTCTTCAAGTACGTCGTGCGCGTCACGACGCCCGGCCGCGGAAGGACGTCGTGCGCGGCTACCCCTGCGCCGAATATCACGGTGAGGGGACGCGGGGGGCGGCTTCTGATTGGGCGAGGCGTAGTCACGTGGAAAGTGGAGCCGGGTTCCGATTGGGCGAGGCGTAGTCACGTGGAAAGCGGAGGCGGGCATGGAACTTCGGTCGCGACTTTTGATTGGGTGAGGCTTAGGCGCATGGATAGTGGAGGCGGGCGGAGAACGCCGGTCGCGGCTTCCGATTGGGCGAGGCGGGGAAAGGAGGACGCTGGCGGCTTCCGATTGGGCGAGGCGCAGGCAGGTTGACAGTGGAGGCGGGCGCAGAACCCCGGTAGCGGGTTCCGATTGGGCGCTGTCGGAAGAAGCGGCGGAGTGGCAGCTCAGCCTCGCGGCCTCATTGGTCGGCAATGTTGTGAATGGAAGGCGCCACGTGTGTTTTGCTAGGTCTATAGTAATCAGATGATCGAGTAATGTATATTATTATTATTATTATTATTATTATTATTGGATATTGATGTAACCAAATAAAATAGGAGACTAGAAATAAAAGATTGCTGAATAGTATATGTATATAGTCTATATTTTATTATTTATTATTAATAATATTATTATAATTTTTACAATTATTATGGTTATTATGATAATATTAACTATTATTATTATTATTATTATTATTATTAGATATTGATGTAACCAAATAAAATAGGAGACTAGAAATAACAGATTGCTCAATAGTATAGGTATATAGTCTATATTTTATTATTTATTATTAATAATATCATTATAATGATTACAATTAATTATGGTTATTAGAATAATATTAACTATTATTATTATTATTATTATTATTAGATATTGATGTAACCAAATAAGATAGGAGACTAGAAATAAAAGATTGCTCAATAGTATAGGTATATAGTCTATATTTTATTATTTATTATTAATAATATCATGATAATGATTACAATTATTGTGGTTATTATAATAATATTAACTATTATTATTATTATTATTATTAATATTAACTGGGCCTGAGGAACCCGGCTAGATGAATGGGGTATATATAAATGATGATGTAGTATTCCGGTCCAACAAGATGGTATCAGAAGCGAAGTTTTGTTGTACGGTTGATAATCAATATGTTAAAATTAAAAAATATTAATAATAATATTAATAATATTAATAATAATATTAATATTAATTTCCTAAATGGGGAACAGGCACAGACTTGGGGGTTCCACAGGACTCTTCATCATTATTAATATTATTATATTAATAATATTAATAATATTAATATTATAGAACTAATAGAATGTGTCACAAACTTGTGACACATTCTATAAGTTCTATAATACACGCAAGGACACACTTAGTGGGACGCACAAGTCTATAAAAATACCAAATAATCCAATTGGTAATTCGAACTGGGGAAGAGTCCTGTGTGACTCTAAAACTTGCCCATCATAGTATAAAATAAAAATACAAAGAAATCAAATTGAGAATTCCAACTGGTGAATAGCCCTGTGTGACTCTAAAGCTTGCGCACCACAACGTAAAATAAAAATACCAAATAATCCAATTGGTAATTCGGATTGATGAAGAGTCCTGTGTGACTCTAAAGCTTGCGCATTATAGCATAAAATAAAACTACAAATTAATTAAATTGGTAATTTGAACTGGGGAAGAGTCCTGTGCGCCTCTAAAACTTGCGCATCATACAATAGAATAAAAATACAAAATAATCCAATTGGTAATTTGAACTGGGGAAGAGTCCTGTGTGCCTCTAAAGCTTGCGCATCATACAATAGAATAAAAATACCAAATAATCCAATTGGTAATTCGGATTGATGAAGAGTCCTGTGTGACTCTAAAGCTTGCGCACCACAACGTAAGATAAAAATACCAAATAATCCAATTGGTAATTCCAATTGATGAAGAGTCCTGTGGAACCCCCAATTCTGTGCCTGTTCCCCATTTAGGGAAGCTTTTAATGTTTGGGGGATTACTGTATTTTCATGTTTGGTCGGAAGCCACACAGAGTGACTGGGGAAGAGATGGGTGGGGTATAAATAAATTATTATTATTATTATTATTATTATTATTATTATTATTATTATATGGGCAAGAGTCTGGGCTGGGGAAGCCCAGCCAGTTGTCCGGTTATAAATAAATTGTTGTTGTTGTATAAATCCATTTATTGTTGTTGCTGTATCAATAAATTTGTTGTTATTTTGTTGTATAAATTTATTGTTGTTTTGTTGTTATAGTAGAAATTTATGGTGGTTGTTGTCATGTAAGGATCCGTCTTATTACAAGGCCATTATTATTAATATAGAAATTAGATATATTATATAAATATCATTATTGCTATTAGGGTATAAATATTGTTATTATTATTATACCTTCCTCGCTGCTCTTCTTTCGGCCTGAAGGACCTCGAACAGGAAGTGCTGGCATCATCCCCGCAAAGGATTCTGGGAGATGTAGTTTGAGGCTTCTAAGGCGCCCTATAGCCCCCCCCAAAGAATTCTGGGAGATGTAGTTTGAAGTGTCTAAGTCGCCCTCTAGCCCCCTTTCAACATGGCATCCCCGCAAAGGATTCTGGGAGATGTAGCTTGAGGCTTCTAAGGAGCCCTCTAGTCCCCCAAAGAATTCTGGGAGACGTAGTTTGAAGTGTCTAAGTCGCCCTCTAGCCCCCTTTCAACATGGCATCCCTGCAAAGGATTCTGGGAGATGTAGTTTGAGGTGTCTAAGGCGCTTTGCCCCCAAAGAATTCTGGGAGATGTAGTTTGAAGTGTCTAAGTCGCCCTCTAGCCCCCTTTCAAAATGGCACTCCTGCAAAGGATTCTGGGAGATGTAGTTTGAAGCTTCTAAGTCACCCTCTAGCCCCCTTTCAACATGGCATCCCCGCAAAGGATTCTGGGAGATGTAGTTTCAGGCTTCTAAGGCGCCCTCTAGCCCCCTTTCAACACAGCATCCCTGCAAAGGATTCTGGGAGATGTCGTTTGAGGCGTCTAAGGCGCTCTAGCCCCCCCAAAGAATTCTGGGAGATGTACTTTGAGGCTTATAAGTCGCCCTCTAGCCCCCTTTCAACATGGCATCCCCGCAAAGGATTCTGGGAGATGTAGTTTGAAGTGTCTAAGTCGCCCTCTAGTCCTGCAAAGGATTCTGGGAGATGTAGCTTGAGGCTTCTAAGGCGCCCTCTAGTCCCGCAAAGGATTCTGGGAGATGTAGCTTGAGGCTTCTAAGGCGCCCTCTAGTCCCGCAAAGGATTCTGGGAGATGTAGCTTGAGGCTTCTAAGGAGCCCTCTAGTCCCGCAAAGGATTCTGGGAGATGTAGTTTGAGGCGTCTAAGGCGCCCTCTAGTCCCGCAAAGGATTCTGGGAGATGTAGCTTGAAGCTTCTAAGACGCCCTCTGGTCCCGCAAAGAATTCTGGGAGATGTAGTTTGAGGCTTCTAAGTCGCCCTCTAGCCCCCTTTCAACATGGCATCCCTGCAAAGGATTCTGGGAGATGTAGCTTGAGGCGTCTAAGGAGCCCTCTAGTCCCGCAAAGGATTCTGGGAGATGTAGCTTGAGGCTTCTAAGGCGCCCTCTAGCACTCAAATGAATTCTGGGAGATGTAGTTTGAAGTGTCTAAGTCGCCCTCTAGCCCCCTTTCAACATGGCATCCCCGCAAAGGATTCTGGGAGATGTAGTTTGAAGTGTCTAAGTCGCCCTCTAGTCCTGCAAAGGATTCTGGGAGATGTAGCTTGAGGCTTCTAAGGCGCCCTATATTCCCGCAAAGGATTCTGGGAGATGTAGCTTGAGGCTTCTAAGGCGCCCTCTAGTCCCGCAAAGGATTCTGGGAGATGTAGCTTGAGGCTTCTAAGGCGCCCTCTAGTCCCGCAAAGGATTCTGGGAGATGTAGCTTGAGGCGTCTAAGGCACCCTCTGGTCCCGCAAGGAATTCTGGGAGATGTAGTTTGAAGTGTCTAAGTGGCCCTCTAGCCCCCTTTCAACATGGCATCCCCGCAAAGGATTCTGGGAGATGTAGCTTGAGGCTTCTAAGGCGCCCTCTAGTCCCGCAAAGGATTCTGGGAGATGTAGCTTGAGGCTTCTAAGGCGCCCTCTAGTCCCGCAAAGGATTCTGGGAGATGTAGCTTGAGGCGTCTAAGGCACCCTCTGGTCCCGCAAGGAATTCTGGGAGATGTAGTTTGAAGTGTCTAAGTGGCCCTCTAGCCCCCTTTCAACATGGCATCCCCGCAAAGGATTCTGGGAGATGTAGCTTGAGGCTTCTAAGGCGCCCTCTAGCACTCCAATGAATTCTGGGAGATGTAGTTTGAGGCGTCTAAGGCGCTTCGCCCCCCCAAGGATTCTGGGAGATGTAGTTTGAGGCGTCTAAGGCGCTCTAGCCCCCCCAAAGAATTCTGGGAGATGTAGTTTGAGGCGTCTAAGTCTCCCTCTAGCCCCCTTTCAACATGGCATCCCTGCAAAGGATTCTGGGAGATGTAGCTTGAGGCTTCTAAGACGCCCTCTGGTCCCGCAAAGGATTCTGGGAGATGTAGTTTGAGGCCTCTAAGGCGCTCTAGCCCCCCCAAAGAATTCTGGGAGATGTCATTTGAAGTCTCTACGCTGCCCGCTTTGAACCCGCCACCCCCGCAAATGAGTCGCAGCCCGCCAGACAAAACCCGGGTTCGAGACGCGCCCACCATTTCAATTCGCTTTATTCAATCTGCGGAAAGAGGAGACGGGCCGCCGGCTGGCAGGCGGCTTCTCCCGCCCGTCCGGAGTCGGGGCGGGAGGGCGGGGAGACCCCGGGCGCCCCGTGGCGCCCGGCGCCCCCCGGCTTTCGAGGCTTTGTCCTCACTGCGCCTTGGGGCCCTTTTCGAGGGGTTTCCCGATGTCCCTCCCGCGGAGTTTGAGGCCTGGGGAGAGAGGAGGAGGGTCAGCCGCGCACCCTCGAACCCGGGTCCCCTCCTCGAACCCGCAACCCCGCTTACCGATGGCTCTCTCGATCTTGCCCAGCACCTGGTTGTTAGGGATGGCCTTGCCCGACTCGTAGTCGGCGATCACCTGCGGCTTCTCGTTGATTTTCTGAAAGAGAGAGGGGGGGGTGTCTTGGTTCCGGGTTCCGAGTGCGAGTCCCGGGGCCAAAAGCACCTTCCTTTTTTAAAACGAGCAGCAGCAGCTTCTCGTTTTCTTTTCTTTTTTGGAATCTACTTTTGATTCAGTTTTTTATTCAGTTTTAATTTAAAAAATTAAGTTTTTAGATAAGCCAACAAACCAAAATATCCAGTGTATTTACATCTATCTCACTTTATGCTCCATACAGCCGCTGACTTCCCTCCTTCCCTTCCGCATTAATTATCTTTAATTCCGCAGGAAATTATTATCTTTAATTCCGCAGGAAATTAAATTATTATCTTTAATTCCGCAGGAAATTAAATTATTATCTTTAATTCCGCAGGAAATTATCTTTAATTCACCGTTTCATTAGTAAAAGACGAAAAGCACCATTTCTTTCCGTCCTGCGAATGTCTTCCAATTTCGACAGTTCTCACGTATATAAGACCATCCATTTAATCCATTCTTTGGGGTACTTTTCTTTACATTTCCAACAGATTTTGCTAATCATCCTATACATTTTTGCTAGATTGGTGCAAATAATAATAATAATAATAATAATAATAATTTATTTATATCCTGCCCTCCCCAGCCAAAGCCGGGCTAACAACAATAAAACGATACACATTCTAAAATCATTTCATTATCAAATTATAAGATAAGATACCAGTGATGAACCATGTTCAGGACGTTCTCTTTGAAAGTAGAGCACGCCGTAAATTGAAATTTTAAATTCTCATTCCACAGTTGGACCCGTGCGTTATATTCTATATTATGCCCAAAGTCTATTGCCCATAGCCTCTTTTATCGATTCATCTTTTGTATTCCATTCTAACAAGAAATGATACATTTTCGAGAGTAGTTTGGTCTTGCTTTCTATTCTGTCAATTTGGAATTTCGATTTCTTCGCTTCAAATCCGAATTTTTTACCATAAATTAATTTTATAACGAAATGATTTTATTATTTTTATAGTCCGTTTTTTGGGGTAATTATCCTCAAATAGATTTATATTTTTCATTTGACTTTTTTGAGCGTCCACAACAGTTAATAATTTTTCATCCTTACCGTCGCCAGGTCCTTCTGGGTCAACCCCTTGCCCTGGCGCCCCTGCTGGATGACTTTGCCCACCTCCAGGGGCACCCGGTCGTGGTGCAGCTCCTCCGTCTCCCGGTCCAGCTTGGCCGTGTTCTTCGTGATGGAGTGCTGCTTGTTCTGGCCCGCCGCCCCTGCGAGGAGGGACAAAGCAAGTGACATCACTTCCTGTCCGGACAGGAAGTCACAACACGCGAGCTACGTCTCTCTCCCCCGGTTAAAAAAACAACACATGCTACCCATGTCTCTCTTCCCCGGTTAAAAAATAATGATTATTTATTTAGTTGATCCCACCCTGCGCGGCGACATCACTTCCTGTCTGGACAGGAAGTCACAACACGCGAGCTACGTCTCTCTCCCCCGGTTAAAAAACCACACGTGCTACCTCTTGGGGTCCCATCTCTGCATTTCAGGGGTCAGTCTAGATGCCTCTGGGGGTCCCATCTCTGCATTTCAGGGGTCAGACTAGATGCCTCTGGGGGTCCCATCTCTGCATTTCAGGGGTCAGACTAGATGCCTCTGGGGGTCCCATCTCTGCATTTCAGGGGTCAGACTAGATGCCTCTGGGGGTCCCATCTCTGCATTTCAGGGGTCAGACTAGATGCCTCTGGGGTCTCATCTCTGCATTTCAGGGGTCAGACTAGATGCCTCTAGGGTCCCATCTCTGCATTTGAGGAAGGATGCAGGAGGGGACAGGAAGTAGAAGGATGCTTCAAGGAGGAGGAGTGGTACCCAAAGAGGAGGAGGAAGGATGCAGGAGGAGACAGGAAGTAGAAGGATGCTTCAAGGAGGAGGAGTGGTACCCAAAGAGGAGGAGGAAGGATGCAGGAGGAGACAGGAAGAAGAAGGATGCTTCAAGGAGGAGGAGTGGTACCCAAGGAGGAGGAGGAGGAAGGATGCAGGAGGAGACAGGAAGAAGAAGGATGCTTCAAGGAGGAGGAGTGGTACCCAAGGAGGAGGAGGAGGAAAGATGCAGGAGGAGACAGGAAGGATGCTTCAAGGAGGAGGAGTGGTACCCAAGGAAGAGGAGGAGGAAGGATGCAGGAGGAGACAGGAAGGATGCTTCAACGAGGAGGAGTGGTACCCAAGGAGGAGGAGGAGGAAGGATGCAGGAGGAGACAGGAAGGATGCTTCAACGAGGAGGAGTGGTACCCAAGGAGGAGGAGGAGGAAGGATGCAGGAGGAGACAGGAAGAAGAAGGATGCTTCAAGGAGGAAGAGTGGTACCCAAGGAGGAGGAGGAGGAGGAAGGATGCAGGAGGAGACAGGAAGGATGCTTCAAGGAGGAGGAGTGGTACCCAAGGAGGAGGAGGAAGGATGCAGGAGGAGACAGGAAGAAGAAGGATGCTTCAAGGAGGAGGAGTGGTACCCAAGGAGGAGGAGGAGGAAGGATGCAGGAGGAGACAGGAAGAAGAAGGATGCTTCAAGGAGGAGGAGTGGTACCCAAGGAGGAGGAGGAGGAAAGATGCAGGAGGAGACAGGAAGGATGCTTCAAGGAGGAGGAGTGGTACCCAAGGAAGAGGAGGAGGAAGGATGCAGGAGGAGACAGGAAGGATGCTTCAAGGAGGAGGAGTGGTACCCAAGGAGGAGGAGGAGGAAAGATGCAGGAGGAGACAGGAAGGATGCTTCAAGGAGGAGGAGTGGTACCCAAGGAAGAGGAGGAGGAAGGATGCAGGAGGAGACAGGAAGGATGCTTCAACGAGGAGGAGTGGTACCCAAGGAGGAGGAGGAGGAAGGATGCAGGAGGAGACAGGAAGGATGCTTCAACGAGGAGGAGTGGTACCCAAGGAGGAGGAGGAGGAAGGATGCAGGAGGAGACAGGAAGAAGAAGGATGCTTCAAGGAGGAGGAGTGGTACCCAAGGAGGAGGAGGAGGAAGGATACAGGAGGAGACAGGAAGGATGCTTCAAGGAGGAGGAGTGGTACCCAAGGAGGAGGAGGAGGAAGGATGCAGGAGGAGACAGGAAGGATGCTTCAAGGAGGAGGAGTGGTACCCAAGGAGGAGGAGGAGGAAGGATGCAGGAGGAGACAGGAAGAAGAAGGATGCTTCAAGGAGGAGGAGTGGTACCCAAGGAGGAGGAGGAGGAAGGATGCAGGAGGAGACAGGAAGAAGAAGGATGCTTCAAGGAGGAAGAGTGGTACCCAAGGAGGAGGAGGAGGAAGGATGCAGGAGGAGACAGGAAGAAGAAGGATGCTTCAAGGAGGAGGAGTGGTACCCAAGGAGGAGGAGGAGGAGGATGAAGGATGCAGGAGGAGACAGGAAGAAGAAGGATGCTTCAAGGAGGAGGAGTGGTACCCAAGGAGGAGGAGGAGGAAGGATACAGGAGGAGACAGGAAGAAGAAGGATGCTTCAAGGAGGAGGAGTGGTACCCAAGGAAGAGGAGGAGGAAGGATGCAGGAGGAGACAAGAAGTAGAAGGATGCTTCAAGGAGGAGGAGTGGTACCCAAGGAGGAGGAGGAGGATGAAGGATGCAGGAGGAGACAGGAAGAAGAAGGATGCTTCAAGGAGGAGGAGTGGTACCCAAGGAGGAGGAGGAGGAGGATGAAGGATGCAGGAGGAGACAGGAAGAAGAAGGATGCTTCAAGGAGGAAGAGTGGTACCCAAGGAGGAGGAGGAGGAGGAGGAAGGATACAGGAGGAGACAGGAAGAAGAAGGATGCTTCAAGGAGGAGGAGTGGTACCCAAGGAAGAGGAGGAGGAAGGATGCAGGAGGAGACAGGAAGGATGCTTCAAGGAGGAGGAGTGGTACCCAAGGAGGAGGAGGAGGAAGGATGCAGGAGGAGACAGGAAGAAGAAGGATGCTTCAAGGAGGAAGAGTGGTACCCAAGGAGGAGGAGGAGGAAGGATGCAGGAGGAGACAGGAAGGATGCTTCAAGGAGGAGGAGTGGTACCCAAGGAGGAGGAAGGATGCAACTTGCAGATTTGAAAATAAGGGACCAGCAGCCAAAAGAAGGGATTTTCCAGGCACAGGAAAATCTCTTTTTCCCTCTTCCCCGGTCAAAAAACCCGCTGTGTCTTTCTCCCACCCTGAGAGCTGCGCGTCTATGGCAGTAAATAAATTCCACAAATAATAATAATGAAGAAATTTCGCTGGAGGAAACCTCCAAGCGACTCAAGACAAGAAGCTCGAGCAAAATACCGTGAAAAATTGCAGGCAGGAGCGGGAAACTTACATTTCTTGGAGGTCTCGACATCGTCGCCTCGCCTCTGAGCCGCAAGGACAGCCTGGGGCAGAAAAGAGGGACAGGAGGAGCCCGAAAAGAACAAGGATGAATTTTTCTTCTTTTTAATTAGGATTAAATTTTTCTTCTTTTTAATTAGGATTTTCTTAGTTTGCAAAAGTGCATGCACTGTCTCTCCTTCTGCCCGCGTTGTAAAGTCTTCCCTTCTTTGTTATGAGACTAGGGCAAAGTAGAATTAATTTACAGATTTTCATTTATTCCGATTGGTTATTAGGCCCTGTCTAATATAATCAGAATCAAACCAGGGTCCTGTCTAATATAATCAAAATCAAACCAGGGTCCTGTTTAATTTAATCAGAATTAAACCAGGGTCTTGTCTAATATAATCAGAATCAAATCAGGGTGTTAATATAATCACCATAATCACAGTCCAACCATTGAATGGAACTTACTTATTTTTAATCCAATTTAAACTGAATGCAATTAATTTACTTTTCATTCAACTGAATGGAACTCACTTATTTTTAATCCAATTTAAATGGAATGCAATTCACTTCTTTGCAATTAATTTATTTTTAATCCCATTTAACGGAACTCACTTCTTTTTAATCCAATATAAATTGAATGCAATTCACTTATTTGCAATTAATTTATTTTTAATCCCATTGAATGGAACTGACTTATTTTTAATCCCATTTAAATGGAATGCAATTCACTTATTTGCAATTAATTTATTTTTAATCCCATTGAATGGAACTGACTTATTTCTAATCCAATTTAAACCGAATGCAGTTAATTTACTTTTCATTCAACTGAATGGAACTCACTTCTTTTTAACCCAATTTAAATTGAATGCAATTCACTTATTTGCAATTAATAAATTTTTAATCCCATTGAATGGAACTCACTTATTTTTAATCCAATTTAAACTGAATGCAATTAATTTACTTTTCATTCAACTGAATGGAACTCACTTCTTTTTAACCCAATTTAAACTGAATGCAATTCACTTATTTGCAATTAATTTATTTTTAATCCCATTGAATGGAACTGACTTATTTTTAATCCAATTTAAACTGAATGCAATTAATTTACTTTTCATTCAACTGAATGGAACTCACTTCTTTTTAACCCAATTTAAATTGAATGCAATTCACTTATTTGCAATTAATCTATTTTTAATCCCATTTAATGGAACTCACTTATTTTTAACCCAATTTAAATGGAATGCAATTCACTTATTTGCAATTAATTTATTTTTAATCCCATTGAATGGAACTGACTTATTTTTAATCCAATTTAAACTGAATGCAATTCACTTATTTGCAATTTATTTTTAATCCCATTGAATGGAACTCACTTATTTTTAACCCAATTTAAATTGAATGCAATTCACTTATTTGCAATTTATTTTTAATCCCATTTAATGGAACTCACTTCTTTTTAATCCAATTTAAATGGAATGCAATTCACTTATTTGCAATTAATTTATTTTTAATCCCATTGAATGGAACTGACTTATTTCTAATCCAATTTAAACTGAATGCAATTAATTTACTTTTCATTCAACTGAATGGAATTCACTTCTTTTTAACCCAATTTAAATTGAATGCAATTCACTTATTTGCAATTAATTTACTTTTAATCCCATTTAATGGAACTGACTTATTTTTAATCCAATTTAAACTGAATGCAATTAATTTACTTTTCATTCAACTGACTGGAATTCACTTCTTTTTAACCCAATTTAAATTGAATGCAATTCACTTATTTGCAATTTATTTTTAATTCCATTTAATGGAACTCACTTATTTTTAACCCAATTTAAATTGAATGCAATTCACTTATTTGCAATTAATTTATTTTTAATCCCATTTAATGGAACTGACTTATTTTTAATCCAATTTAAACTGAATGCAATTAATTTATTTTTAATCCCATTTAATGGAACTCCCTTATTTTTAATCCAATTTAAATTGAATGCAATTCACTTATTTGCAATTAATTTATTTTTAATCCCATTGAATGGAACTCACTTATTTCTAATCCAATTTAAACTGAATGCAGTTAATTTACTTTTCATTCAACTCAATGAAACTCACTTCTTTTTAACCCAATTTAAATTGAATGCAATTCACTTATTTGCAATTTATTTTTAATTCCATTTAATGGAACTGACTTATTTTTAACCCAATTTGAATGCAATTCCCTTATTTCTCATTCAATTGAATGGAGCTTGCTCCTTTTTCATTTGAATAGAACTTAAAATTCAAATGGAACGGAACCTATTCCTTTTTAATCCTATTTAAATCCAATGGAATTCATTCATTTTAATTGAATTTAAAGAGCTTGTTCATTTTTAACTTAATTTGAAGGGAACTTAAAATTTAAATCGAATAGAACCTATTCCTTTTTCATCCCCTTTCAAGAGTTCTGTTGAATTTAAATGGGAATTTCAACTGAAATATCAACTGAAGTCTTTCAGTCTTATCAAAAGTCTTTTCTGAGGAGAATTCCGGCCGCCATTTTGAGAGGGCGTGGCCTGGCGCGCCGCCATCTTGGCGGGCGAGGGGCTCGGCCAATGGGAGCCGCCGGGGGGCGTGGCCTGCGGGGCGAGGGGCTTTGGAGGGGCGCGACGCGGCCGGGCCCCTTCAGAGCGCCCCGTGAGAGGGCCGGCGGCGGTCGTGCGGGGAGAGGCCTCCGCTCACCTGCTTGGACTTGGCCTGGGCCGCGCTGGGCCCCTTCTTGCGCAGCACCGTCACCGTGTCCCAGTCGCTCTCCGCCATGGCGCCGCTCTGGCTGGCTCCGCCGCCCTCCCGGACGCCTATTGGTCGCTCGTGGCGAAGGGCCCGCCTCCCAGAGGCACCCCTGCCAATCGGCTTGCCCCGCCCCAGGCCGGCGTCGCGGGATTGGTTGGTTGGCCCGCGTCACGCCCCTCGCTCTGGATGGGGAGCATGCGCAGAAACGACCGTAGGTTGCTTCGCGTCACGCCGTTTGGGGAGCATGCGCAGAAGCGACTGTGAAGCTCCCCGCGCTGTAGAGCATGCGCAGAAAGGCTGGCCGACGGCCCTCAACCAACATGGCGGTCCAGCCGCTTCTTCCGCCCTTTCCTTCCCCTCCCTCTTTCCAGTCCGCTTGCCCTCCTCCAAAATGGCCGCACTAGGAACCCCGTCGCTCGAGTCGCCTCAAGTCAGTCCCCTGAAATGCAGAAATCTAGTCTAGGCCCCGCTGCCCTCAACCAACATGGCGCCGCCGCCGCCTCTTCCGCCCTTTCTTCCCCCGTTTCCCTCTTTTCAGTCCCCTTGCCCTCGTCCAAAATGGCCGCCCTAGCAACCCCCTCGCTCGACGCACGCGCAGCGATAGGCCGGCCAATCCCAGGCCGGGATGTGGGCGGGGCCAACCCTTTCCCGCCTTTTCTCCTGCCAGCTGCTTCTCCTCAGCTGTTTCCTACGCCCTTTTCATGGCAATAAATGATTATTATTATTACTTTTTAAATCCTTATTATTATTATTATTATTAGGAAAGGCTGAGGGAAGTTTGCAATATAGTCTGTTTTCTCGCCTTTTTCATATTTTGTGGAGAGTGGCTGGGAAATGGGAATAAATAATAATAATAATAATAATAATAATAATAATAATATCTTTATTGAGGATTATCCTTCATTTTTAAATCCTTATCATTATTATTATATTCTGATAAAAGGGTGAGGGAAGCTTGTAGTATATTATTTTTTATCCTTTTTAAAATATCCTGTTGGAGGCTGGGAAAGAGTAGAAAATTATTCTCATTAAATAATCATAATAAATAAATAGATGTTAGATTATTGTTCTTCTTCTATTTTATTATTCTATTCTATTATCCTATCCTAGTCTATCATTCTTATTCTTAATATTATTATTATTCTGTTGGTGGCTGGGGAATTATAATAAATTATGGTATATTAATAAATTATCATCATTCATTTTGACATTATTCTGATTCTTATTCTATTCTTATTCTTATTCTATTATCTATTCTTCCTGTCCTATCCTATTCTTATTCTATTCTATTATTATTATTCTATTATTATTTTATTATTATTATTATTATTATTATTAATAATAATAATAATAATATTATTATTATTATAAAAGGGTGAAGGAAGTTTGTAGTATATGATGTTTTATCATTTTTTCTTCTATTGGTGGCTGGGGATGATAATAAATTATCATTAATTTTATTATTATTATTATTCTATTATCCTATTCTTATTCTATTCTATTCTATCCTATTCTTATTCTATTCTATTATCCTATCCTATTCTATTCTTATTCTTATTATTCTAATTCTTGTTATTATAAAAGGGTGAGGGAAGTTTGTAGTATATTTTAAATATTCCTTTGGTGGCTGGGGAATGATAATAAATTATCATCAATTTTAAATAATAATAATTATTATTATTATTATTAAAAGGGTTAGGGACGATTGCAGTATATGATGTTTTCTCATTTTTAAAATATTCAGTTGGTGGCTGGGAAAGAGTAATACGTTAATATTATCATTAAAGGTTATTATTATCCTTAAATGTTAAATTATTATTATTATTATTATAAACCCCACCCACCCAAGTGGGACATGGTCTCTTCCCCCCTAAACCTTAAGAGTATCATATTTTTATTTATTCAAATTGTATCTTGGAAACTGTATCTGAAACAATGTATTTGTTGCAAAAATTACAGGCTACATATTACAAATATTTTGCCTGAATGTATCCTTTCCACTTGGCAGCTCTGGGAAGTTAAAAATAAATATAAAAATCATATAAAAGCCACTTTCCTCCATGCCAAAGCTCTTTTCCCCTTGAAAAAGGACTCCAGGAAGGGATTGTTGGCCAAGGATAGCCTTATTATTATTATTATTATTATTATTATCCCATCCTCAAACTTGCCAACAATTATAATTATAATTATAATTATAAAAGGGTGAGGGAAGTTTGGAGTATATGACGTTTTCTCGTTTTTAAAAAATATGCTGTTGGTGGCTGGGAAATTGTAATAAATTAGGATGATCATTCAATGTTAAATTATTATTGTTGTTATTATTATTATTAATCACACCCACCCAAGTGGGACACGGCCTCTTCCCCCCTAAGCCTTCACAGTATAGTATTTTTAATTATTTGAATTGGGGGAGAAGCAACTCCAGAGGAACTGGCTGTGATAATAATAATAATTTATTCTTTATATAAAATAAAGTTCAGATCTCCATTGCTTTCTCCATCTGGATGCCTTTAATGTCTTGGAAATTGTATCGAACAATGTATTGAAAATGTATTTAATGTATTGGAAACTGTAGCTGAACAGTGTATTGTTCAGATGAAGCACTGCTTGGTTTTGTAACCAGCTAATTCCTCCAGATCCCAATTCCTCCACTTATTATTATTATTATTATTATTATTATTATTATTAAATGAACCCTTGTGGTTCCTTCACAGATTCCTGCCTTGCAGCGGGTTGGACTGGATGACCCTTGAGGTCCCTTCCAGCTAAACGCACCATAATAATAATAATAATAAATATATGATTCTAGGGAAAGGCTTCAGAAAGAATAAAGAATAAAAACACATTTCTTCCCGTTTGTCATCTGCTGGCTCCTTTCCCACTTGATTCTTTCTTCCACTGCAATCTGGGCTGGACATATTCGATGTCTGCTTGGACGGGGACCCCTCTTTCCCTTCTTGGGAAAATAATCAACATTATTGATATTTCTTAGGTCTGAATTCCTGCTCTAAAAAGGAGGAGGAGGAGGAGGAAGAAACTTCACCTGACAAAGGGAGAAGAGGAGGTGGAGGAAAAGTCAGCTGCAGGCATAAAGGTAAAAGGGAAAAAATAGAAATAGAAATTGACATCTAACACTTAAGAACATTTTTAAACCACCCCAGTCCTGATATATCCCACCGACCCCCTAACCAGCACAGTACAGTACAGTAAAAATCCAGTAAAGTGTTCTTATTTATTTGATTGGCACCTCCTGGCTTCCCCCATGTAGGTTTGTCTCCTTTTCCTTTTCTAGTTAGGCCATCTAAAGGTGACAAAGCAATGGGTGGAAAACTTAATTTCATTGCTTGAAGCAGGTACCATCTTTTTCGCTCCAGAGGACGCCCGTTTCCTCCCCTAAAAAGGAAGGGGAAATGTCTGTGCGTCTTCTGGGGCGAAGCCAGCAAGAGCGGAGCCGGGAGGAGGGAGGGAGGGAAGGGGATCCATGCAGCGGATTCCCTCCTCCCAGGCTCCCTTGGAAGCAGCAACGCGGGAGGGGAGCCCCTTACACTCGGGTCAGCAGCTCCTCTCCCCCTTTCCTGCTTCAAATCTGCTGCCCTTGCGAGCGGAGGATCCATGGCTCCGCTTCCTTCCCTCCTCTGTGGGGAAAGAGGGCAGGAAAGAGATGGCGGGCAGGAAGACACAACCACCCTGGGACCACTGGAAAGTCCACCTCAGCCTCCCCAGACGGCCAGGCTAATCTCGATGGCCGGAAGAGCTGGAAACTTGCAAGGGCTGTTTATTTAAAGACGAAAACAGGCGCACACGGGAAAGACATCCTCCCCGGTTCCTGGACACAACCCACGCTTGATATTCGCACAGCTTCCATGGGTGGCATTGGCAGCTGGAGGAGCAGCCTGGTGAAAGAGCAAGTCCTGGTTTCAAGCTGAAGATCAGCTCTTTCGGGGGGGCCTCAAACAACCCTTTGGCTGCAAGGGGAATTCCCCCTCCCTTAATTCAGGATGCTAGTCTACAGACGCTGTGTCTGCCTGCCCTTTCCCCTGAGCTGAAAAAGCACCTTCAGGAGGGTGATGGGAGGCGACACAGTCGTCTTCCAGATGTGCAAAGAACCACCCTCGCCACGCTAAACGGGACAGCAAGCCTCACACAGATCTGAAGCATAAATGGGAACCTAGGAAGCTGCCTTATATGGAGTCGGACCCACTACTCCATCGAGCTTAGTAATGTCAACTCTGACTGGCAGCAGTTTGCCAGAGTTTCAGGCCTGGAGAAGCCAGGGATTGAGCGTGTGGTGTTCTGCAGGCAAAGCCACTGAGGTTACAGCTATTCCCTTTAAAAACAAACTAAGATTGTAGTCCCATCTGCCTCTGCTCCAATGTAAATCGGAGCCAGGGCACACAATGTCAGTTTGGGGCATCTAAAACTATGAAAATGGGCTTACAGATCTTGAGTTTCGGACACTGCTCAACCGCATACTCAGTCAAATGTGGATGCCAAACAAATGAACTTTGTGGTTAACCCTGAAGCCTGTTTCTTTCTCTAGAACGCGCCTGATGGGCGTTTGCGCTGCCTCCCTTGGTTCTCTCGGCCTGATGCGTTTTGGGGCTTGGCTGGTCCTGGAGTCTTGCAGTTGCTCTGGCCATTTCTCCGGCTCATCCTTGAAACAGCCTGGAGAGATCTCCTGTAAGTCCCACTTCCTCTTGCCGTATTACCGGTAGTTGCCACACGGGGTCACTGTTTATTTTCCTGTTGAGGTCTATTCCAGTAATGGCCACACGAGGGCACTGTTTATTTTCCTATTGAGGTCTATTCCAGTATTGGCCACACGAGGGCACTGTTTATTTTCCTATTGAGGTCTATTCCAGTATTGGCCACACGGGGTCACTGTTTATTTTCCTATTGAGGTCTATTCCAGTATTGGCCACACGAGGGCACTGTTTATTTTCCTATTGAGGTCTATTCCAGTATTGGCCACACGAGGGCACTGTTTATTTTCCTATTGAGGTCTATTCCAGTAATGGCCACACGGGGGCACTGTTTATTTTCCTATCCATGTCTATTCCAGTAATGGCCACAGGAGGGCGCTGTTTATTTTCCTATCCATGTCTATTCCAGTAATGGCCACACGAGGGCACTGTTTATTTTCCTATTGAGGTCTATTCCAGTAATGGCCACACGAGGGCACTGTTTATTTTCCTATTGAGGTCTATTCCAGTAATGGCCACACGGTGTCACTGTTTATTTTCCTATTGAGGTCTATTCCAGTAATGGCCACACGAGGGCACTGTTTATTTTCCTATTGAGGGCTATTCCAGTAATGGCCACACGGGGTCACTGTTTATTTTCCTATTGACGTCCATTGCAGTAATGGCCACACGGGGTCACTGTTTATTTTCCTATTGAGGGCTATTCCAGTAATGGCCACACGGGGTCACTGTTTATTTTCCTATTGAGGGCTATTCCAGTAATGGCCACACGGGGTCACTGTTTATTTTCCTATTGACGTCCATTGCAGTAATGGCCACACGGGGTCACTGTTTATTTTCCTATTGAGGGCTATTCCAGTAATGGCCACACGGGGTCACTGTTTATTTTCCTATTGAGGGCTATTCCAGTAATGGCCACACGAGGGCACTGTTTATTTTCCTATTGAGGGCTATTCCAGTAATGGCCACACGGGGTCACTGTTTATTTTCCTATTGACGTCCATTGCAGTAATGGCCACACGGGGTCACTGTTTATTTTCCTATTGAGGGCTATTCCAGTAATGGCCACACGAGGGCACTGTTTATTTTCCTATTGAGGGCTATTCCAGTAATGGCCACACGGGGTCACTGTTTATTTTCCTATTGAGGGCTATTCCAGTAATGGCCACACGGGGTCACTGTTTATTTTCCTATTGAGGGCTATTCCAGTAATGGCCACACGGGGTCACTGTTTATTTTCCTGTTGAGGTCTATTCCAGTAATGGCCACACGAGGGCACTGTTTATTTTCCTAATGAGGGCTATTCCAGTAATGGCCACACGAGGGCACTGTTTATTTTCCTGTTGAGGTCTATTCCAGTATAGGCCACACGAGGGCACTGTTTATTTTCCTATTGAGGGCTATTCCAGTAATGGCCACACGAGGGCACTGTTTATTTTCCTATTGAGGGCTATTCCAGTAATGGCCACACGAGGGCACTGTTTATTTTCCTGTTGAGGTCTATTCCAGTATAGGCCACACGAGGGCACTGTTTATTTTCCTGTTGAGGTCTATTCCAGTATTGGCCACACGGGGGCACTGTTTATTTTCCTATCTATGTCTATATCTATATCTATATCTAACCAGACCCCTCAGGCACTGTTGGGACACCTCCCAGAAGGGATTTTTTGGGGGGGTCCCTCCAGCCTTCCTTCTCCGCAGGGACCACAAGAGGCATCTAGTCTGACCCCTGAAATGCAGAAATCTAGTCTAGGCCCCGCTGCCCTCAACCAACATGGCGCCGCTGCTGCCTCTTCCGCCCTTTCTTTCCCCTCCCTCTTTCCAGTCCCCTTGCCCTTGTCCAAAATGGCCGCCCTAGCAACTCCCTCGCTCAATCCAATCTTGGCGACGATAGGTGGGCCTTTAGGCCAATCCCAGGCCGGGTGGTGGGCGGGGCCAGCCGTTTCCCGCTTTTTCTTCTCCCAGCTGTTTCTCAGCTGCTTCTCCTCAGCTGTTTCCCGCGACTTTGGGGCGCCTTTTTCTTCCTGGGAAACAACAAGAAATTATTATTAGCATTACTTTTTAAATCATGATTGTTATTATTATTGTTATTGTTAGAAAAGGAGGCAAAGTTTGTCATATAGTATGTTTTGTCGCGTTATTAGTATTCTGTGGGGAGCGGCTGGGAAAGGAGAATAAATGAGGATTATCCTTCATTTTTCAGTTCCTATCATTATTATTATAATGGTTATTCTGATAAAAGGGTGAGGGAAGTTTGTCGCATATGATGTTTTCTCATTTTTTAAATATTCTGCTGGTGGCTGGGAAAAAGCAGTACATTATTATTATCATTAAATGTTAAATTATTATTCTAATTGTTATTATTAATCACACCCACCCAAGTGGGACACGGCCTCTTCCCCCCTAAGCCTTAACACTATAGTATTTTTATTTATTTGAACTGTATCTTGGAAACTGGATCAGAAACAATGTATTTGTTGCAGAAATTGCACACTACATGTTACAAATCGGATGCCTGAATGTATCCTTTCCACTTGACATCTCCAGGAAGTGAAAAATAAATATAAAAATAAGATAAAATCTACTCCTTTGCCATTGCAAAGCTCTTTTCCCCTTGAAATGGGACTCCAGGAAGGGATTGTTGGCCAAGGAAAGCCTTATTTTTATTATTATTATTATCCCATCCCCAAACTTGCCAGCAATTATCATGCTTATTCTTATAAAAGGGTGAGGGAAGTTTGGAGTATATGACGTTCTATCATTTTTTAAAAATATGCTGTTGGGGGCTGGGGAATAAATTATTATGATTATCATTAAATTTTAAACTATTATTATTATTCACACACACCCAAGTGAGACATGGCCTCTTCCCCGCTAAGCCTTAACAGTATAGTATTTTAATGATTTCAATTGGGGGGAGAAGCAACTCCAGAGGAACTGGCTGTGAAAATAATAATCATTTATTCTTTATATAAAATAAAGTGCAGATCTCCATTGCTTTCCCCCTCAGGCCGCCCTTAATGTCTTGGAAACTGTACCTGAACAGTGTATTGTGCAGATGAAGCACTGCTTGAAGCAGTGGTTTTGTAACCAGCTAATTCCTCAAGATCCCAATTCCTCCACTTTTTATTAAATGCAGTTTCCTTGTGGTTCCTTCGCAGATTCCTGCCTTGCGGCGGGTTGAACTGGATGACCCTTGGGGTCCCTTCCAGCTAGATGCACCATTAAATGATTCTTGGGAAAGGGGTTCAGAAAGAAGAAACGGGGGGAAAGCACATTTCTTCCAGTTCAGTCGATCTGCTGGCTCCTTTCCCACTTGATTCTTCTTCCACTGCAATCTGGGCTGGAAATATTATAGATCTGCTTGGACGTGGACCCCTCTTTCCCTTCTTGGGAAAATAATCGACATTATTGATATTTCTTAGGTCTGAATTCCTGCTCTGAAAAGGAGGAAGAGGAGGAGGAAGAAACTTCGCCTGATGAAGGGAGAAGAGGAGGTAGAGGAAAACTCAGCTGCAGCCATGAAGGTAAAAGGGAAAAAATAGAAATATACACATAACACTTAAGAACATTTTTAAACAACCCCACTCCTAATATATCACACCGACCCCCCTAACCAGCACAGTACAGTTAAAATACAGTAAAGTGTTTTTATTTATTTGAATGGGGTAGGGCAGCTCCTCCTGGCTTCCCCATGTTGGTGAGGTTTGTCTCCTTTTCCTTTTCTAAAGGTGACAAAGCAATGTGTTGAAAACTTAATTTCTTCCAATGAACCATTG